AAAATGAAAAGGAAATGGGGAATTTTGAATGAGAAATTATGGGCCAACAAGACAGCTATTTTAAGAGAGGAAATTTATTGGAAATCTAAGGTTAAAGATTTTTACATAAGTGTATTAAGACAGAAGCTTTAAAGAGCAACAAAAGTATTATTTAAAAAAATGAAAATTAGAAAAATCAAAGATACTAATAGCCAAATTTTAAATTTTAAGTGGACTACATAACTTAATAGATTAAAAAAAGCAAACAAGAAACAAATAATTACTACCACCAACACAGGCCAGAGCAAAGAAGTAAATAAATAACATATATGAAAGGTAAGTAACTTTATAATTTACAAAGCCATTAAACAACACAGCAAAGAAACAAAGGCCATAAATTAATAAATACAAAGTCAAAAAGAAACCTGAATTATATTAAGGAATCATTTATTTATTCAGGTAATATTAACCACAGATATAAATTAAGACATTTTTGAGAGTAGAATTAAAATTTTATTAAAATATAATATTCAATTCTCTATTTTAAACAAATACTGATTTGGAGCTTTTTAATTTGATAGATCATATTTTACTCAATTTAAGATACCTGTTGGACTTGATGTAATTGGAGTTGTCAAATTAGAACTTTCCAGAGAAATCGAGAGATGATCGTTACTAAAATGATAAAAATTAAAAACAAAAATAAACATGGAATAGGCTGAAACATGCAATCAATGATTAGAATTCTTCTGTCTTAACATTTTATAACTGACATGTTTTATTAACAATTTTTGTGAAGGGTGAAGGTGATAAAACCAAATACCCAAGAAACCCTATGTCCTACCAATTAACTCTATGACCAAAAGTTCATGGAGATCCAGTAATAACAGACCCTTAAGACTTTAGAGATCCATTTACAATGAATCCAAATACATAATCTGTAAGTATACAATATACATAGATGCACAAAACATACAAACTCTGGCACATATACTTGGTGTCATGAAAATGAAACAATGCGTAATTGAAAGAAACCAATAAAGACACTGACTCTTACAGATGTGGAACAATAACAAATAAAGCTATTAAAAATTAGTTCTGCCTTCTGTACACTTTACCACTGTAGTAGCAATATTTATCACACATTCACTAAACTGAGATACTGATGGTAAATGATGCCAATTATGGTTACAGAACACCCTGAGTCAGAAGACTGTCTTCTACTTCTATTTGACCCTGACTCTGCTTTTATGAGTTTGACATTTAAAGCAGAATTTCTAAGGAAAATCTTGACACAAATTTCATTAAGCACATAAAATGCTAGATGAATTTTTTATACACACAGTTACATCATTTTCTTATAGATATTTATTTTTACCTTTCACATTTAGGTCTCTAATCCATTTTAAGATATTTTTGTATATACTGTGAGGAGTAGGGTTAAGGTGTACTTTTTCCCTCTGGTTATTCCAGCAATGTTTGTTGAAATCACTNTGATTATTAATTAATTCTGTTGTGTCAGAGAACATACTATGATTACAATCCTTTTAAATAGACTTGTTTTATGGTCCAAAATCTGATCTGCATGTTTCATAAGCACTTAAAAAGAATGCATTTTGCCATGGTTGGATTGAATGTTCTATAAACGTCAATTAGGTTAAGTTGATTGATAGTGTTGCAACCTCTGATTATAGTTGTTTTTTCTATTTGTAATTTCAGTCCTATCAGTGTTTGCATGAGGAATTTTGAAGTTCTACTATGAAGTGCATACACACCTAGGTTTACTATGTCTTCCTGACGAAATGACTGCTTTATCATTACAAAATAGCCTTTCTTTTCCTTGGTAATATTCCTTGTTCTGAAGTCTTTTAGTCTGACCGTAATATAGTCACTCCAAGCTTCTTATGACTCGTGTTTGCTGCATCTTCTTCCATCCTTTTCACTTTAACCTGTCTATATACTTATATTTAAAGTGCATCATGTAGTTATCATACAGTTGCATCTTGTTTTGTGTGCAGTCCAACTATGTCTGCTTTTTTAATGGCATGTTTAGGTCATTTACACATATGCTAATTATCAATATGGTCAGGTTTAAATGTCTTGTCTTGCCTTTTGTTCTCTACTAGTCTTTTTTTTGTTTTTTTTTTGCTTTTGTGGCTTCTCTTGAACTGAGTGTTTTAAAACTTCATTTTATTTCCACTATGGGTCTGTTAGCTATACTTCCACTTAAAAATGTTATTGCTCTAGGCATTACCATATGTATCTTTAATAATTTATAGTCTATCTTCAAATAGCATACAACTCGTATAATGTAAGACTCTTATAACAACATCCATTTCTTTTGCACTATTGTCATACATTAACATCTACACATACTATAAACTCCACTCTATGGTATATCCTTTGTGGAAAATCACTTTCCACCTGGTATTTTCCTTTTGCTTGAAGAACTTCCTTTATATTTGATAATGAAGGTTTGCTGCCAACAAATTTTATCTGAAAAAGTCTTAATTTTGCTTTCATCTTTTGACAGATATATTTTCTGGATATAGAATTCTAGGTTAACAGTTATTGTCCCCCAGCCTTTTAATGGTATCATTTGACTGTTTTTTGGTTTGCATAGTTCCAATTGAGAAAACTGTTATTTGTTCTTTTGTATATATTGGTTTTTGTATATATTTTTAAATTTCCCTTTCTGTATATATCTTGCTTTTCTCATTGTTTTTGGGATTTTACTCCTCATCACTGGTTTTCAGGAATTGATTATGATGTGCCTTGATATGGTTTTCTAGGTATTTATGCTACTTGAAATTCCTGGTTATATGGGTTTGTGCTTCTCATTAAATTTGGAAAACTTCTGACCATACATGTATGTTAGACCACTTGATAATGTCCCACAGGTCACTAAAGGTCTGATTCTTTTTTCCCCGGCCTCTTTTTCTTTTTTCTTTTTACTCAATCTTACTTTGGATAGTTTCTTTCCAAACTACTTGGTCAGGAACTATTTCCTCCAGTGTGCTGTGTACTTTCCTTTGGTGTCTAATATGCTGTTTTTTTCTGTCCATTAAACTTGCTGTTTTTAATATCCACTGAAGTATTTTCTTTTTTGTCATGTGGTTCTATTTTATATCTTTTTTTCCTCTTCTTGTTTTGTTCATGTTTTCCTTTATATCTTTGAAATATTTCTATCAACTGTTTTAAAGTCTCCATCTGTAAATTCTGTCATCTCTGTCATTTCTCAATTGGTTTCTACTGACTGATTTTTCTCCTGGTTTTGGGTTCCATTTTTTTTCTTTGCATCTCTAGTCATTTTTTTAAATTGGATGATGGGTATTATGAATTTTACATGGTTGTGTGTTGAACTGTTGTCTTAATAGACAATGGACTTTGTATAAGTCACTGGGTTACCTGCAATTCAGCCTGGTCCTTTCAAAAGCTTGTTATTAGGTTTTATTAGAGCAAGGTTTTTTCCTGTAAGATGGGTTTACACTCACATATTCAATTAAGAATCTGCCACTCTTGGCTGGTCAGAATTGACCATTTCCCACCTCTATTTGAACTCTGGAAACTGTTCAGCATAAAGCTCCTTGATCATTCTTTGCCCACATTTGTGGAGTTTCACTCTATGAATGTGTGGCTTAATATTTTGGCAGAGACTCAAGAGGACCCCTATGCTGGCTCTCGGAGCTCTTCCTCTGAGTGGCCGGCTCCCTCAGCCTGATGCGACTCTTCCCCGCCCTCCAGGGAAGTCGGCCTCTGAATGGCAATCTCTGTGTTCTCACCTCGGAAAGAGCTACTCTCTGCGTGGGGTCTCCTTCACTGCACTACAGCCCGGGAAGATAGTGGGGCACACTATAGGGCTCCTGTCATTCATTCATTTCTCTCAGGGACTGCAGTCCTATGCTGCAAAACTGAAAAAGTTTTTCTTTTATCATTTCAGATTGTTTACTGCAGAAAAGTTAAATCTGGTCTCAATTAGTCCATCACAATTCTGCATATAGACTATCACTTTTTTCTCTTTTTATATCATTAGTATGTTTATTTATATCAATACATGTACTTCTCCTACATTATTTTTAATGTCTGAATACTGCTGCACTGCATAAATCTAATTTGCATATTCAATCCCTTCTTTCTAGAAATTTAAGGGTTTCCAAAGTTTTACTTTTCACAAACAGCACGGCAATGAACACTTTCATACCTCCCTATACACTTGACTGCAGAGAACTATTCAAAGAAATTCTGGGTCAAAAGGCTTGCATATTGTAAGTTTTTTATACTGATAAGATGTTTTCTAGAAAGATTAATTTACACTCCCATTTACAGTATATAAACTTACATTTCTTTTACATTTTAAATCTGTTTTAAACACTTTAAATCTGTAAAATCTGCTGCATTAATTCAACGTTTTTTTGAAAAGTGTACTTGTGCCGAGCACTGTGCTAAAAGGATGGAAATTTACAGATTAAAACGCTAATTCATTCAATTCCTTTCAGGAGGACAGATACATAAAGAAACAATCACAGAACAACGTAACAAAGCTAACTGGTATGCACAAAACACCAAGGGTAAGGAGAGACTGGAAAGCCTATTTCTGCGGGAAAGGAACAGTTCAGCACAAGTGTATACGATACACGTAACAATCTGGATTGTTGTGGGGGGAATTTTTGCTAAGTGCAAGAAGGCAATCTCAGAAGGATACAAATTGTATCATCCCATTTATATGACACCCATGAGAAAAATGATTACAGTGGTGAGGACAGATCAGAGGTTGTCAGGGTTTAGGGACTGTGGGCAGGAGGTAGGTGCGGCCACTAAGGGGCAGCACCAGGGAAGCCCGTGGTGCTAGATGGTCATGTGATTTGATGTGGTGGCAGTTACACGAATGTACATGTGATGAAATTGCACAGAACTATAAACACACACACAAACACAGTAAAATAAACTTCATAGATGGGTCAAATGCATTTTGACTTGTCACCATTCCCTCTTTCTTGAAAAAAGAAAGACAAATCCTTTACCTGGGTTGCAGTTTGATAGGCCTTCATTTGTCAGATCAATCACAGAATCAAGTTTCTTCCCTACAGCCTGAAAAGTTAAGAAAAAAAGATTATGCCTCAACAGCAGAAAATGTTTTTAAAAAATAAAAAACATACTATTTTTAATGACCATTTGGAAGCTACAGATTGAACACTGTTAAGTCTTATGTTTTAGTTTAACTCCACTATAAAAGAGAAGCTTATGAAATACTGTATGGTTTGCAAGAATATGATTAAGTGTCTAAGTGAGTTAATAGGGTAAGTAAGTATGACTGTGAAATATGTTTATCATTAGCTGTTTGCTTTTGAACGTTTAAGCTTGACTGGGAACCTGGTTATGCAAACTAGCTACTGTTAATTTCTCAAAGAATGAATCTCCCAAATGAATGACAAACCTGAGTTATCCAACTGGAGCAACACTAAAACTAATGTTAGTTAACTCTGAGAAATAACATATTCAAGCGAACAACATTCAGAGACAATATTTATTACCTACCTTAATTTTAGCATCAGGTGAACTGTTAGAATTTCCTGATGGAATTTTTTCAGAATCTGAAAGAAAATGACTAAAATATAAACATTTCACAAATCTGTTAAACCATGAAATATTTATGGACTATGTAATATATGGATGCTAAAACACATGTAATAATGGGATGCTAATTAACTGTTCATTATATAATCAGAAAAAGTAATTCAGTTGATTTTGCCTATTCCAAAGACTGATGAATCAGTTCAAAAACACAAAATCTGATTTTGGTTTGAAAGATTTTGTTCTGTTAACTTTACAATTATAGTATTAACTCTTAAAAAAAAAACTATCTGAGATGGCTGAGGAGCATTCTTCCTAGAACCAGTAGGAAGCCTCAGATCAATGCTTAATATCCCTTGTAAAACTATTTGATTCACAATCTTAACAGCCCAAATTAGGTCACTATATAAGTGGAGACAAAGTTTTGTGAAATTAAGATGCAAATAATCTAATATAATAAAAAAATGAAAAGGAAATGGGGAATTTTGAATGAGAAATTATGGGCCAACAAGACAGCTATTTTAAGAGAGGAAATTTATTGGAAATCTAAGGTTAAAGATTTTTACGTAAGTGTATTAAGACAGAAGCTTTAAAGAGCAACAAAAGTATTATTTAAAAAAATGAAAATTAGAAAAATCAAAGATACTAATAGCCAAATTTTAAATTTTAAGTGGACTACATAACTTAATAGATTAAAAAAAGCAAACAAGAAACAAATAATTACTACCACCAACACAGGCCAGAGCAAAGAAGTAAATAAATAACATATATGAAAGGTAAGTAACTTTATAATTTACAAAGCCATTAAACAACACAGCAAAGAAACAAAGGCCATAAATTAATAAATACAAAGTCAAAAAGAAACCTGAATTATATTAAGGAATCATTTATTTATTCAGGTAATATTAACCACAGATATAAATTAAGACATTTTTGAGAGTAGAATTAAAATTTTATTAAAATATAATATTCAATTCTCTATTTTAAACAAATACTGATTTGGAGCTTTTTAATTTGATAGATCATATTTTACTCAATTTAAGATACCTGTTGGACTTGATGTAATTGGAGTTGTCAAATTAGAACTTTCCAGAGAAATCGAGAGATGATCGTTACTAAAATGATAAAAATTAAAAACAAAAATAAACATGGAATAGGCTGAAACATGCAATCAATGATTAGAATTCTTCTGTCTTAACATTTTATAACTGACATGTTTTATTAACAATTTTTGTGAAGGGTGAAGGTGATAAAACCAAATACCCAAGAAACCCTATGTCCTACCAATTAACTCTATGACCAAAAGTTCATGGAGATCCAGTAATAACAGACCCTTAAGACTTTAGAGATCCATTTACAATGAATCCAAATACATAATCTGTAAGTATACAATATACATAGATGCACAAAACATACAAACTCTGGCACATATACTTGGTGTCATGAAAATGAAACAATGCGTAATTGAAAGAAACCAATAAAGACACTGACTCTTACAGATGTGGAACAATAACAAATAAAGCTATTAAAAATTAGTTCTGCCTTCTGTACACTTTACCACTGTAGTAGCAATATTTATCACACATTCACTAAACTGAGATACTGATGGTAAATGATGCCAATTATGGTTACAGAACACCCTGAGTCAGAAGACTGTCTTCTACTTCTATTTGACCCTGACTCTGCTTTTATGAGTTTGACATTTAAAGCAGAATTTCTAAGGAAAATCTTGACACAAATTTCATTAAGCACATAAAATGCTAGATGAATTTTTTATACACACAGTTACATCATTTTCTTATAGATATTTATTTTTACCTTTCACATTTAGGTCTCTAATCCATTTTAAGATATTTTTGTATATACTGTGAGGAGTAGGGTTAAGGTGTACTTTTTCCCTCTGGTTATTCCAGCAATGTTTGTTGAAATCACTATCTTTTCCCCATTAAATTATCTTGGTATCTCTTGAAAATCAATGGACAATGTGTATACTCTAATCTGTCCATTAATTTATTTTTAATTATTAATTTATTTTAATAATTTTAGTGATCTTTTTTTTGTCTCCACAGTTTGGCTTTTTCTAGACTATCATATAGTTGGAATCATACAGTGATGTCTACTCTAACACATCACTGTCTTAATTGCTATAGCTTTATAGTAAGTCTTGAACTCAGGTAGTGTATGACATCCAACTTGTTCTTTTTTATAACATTGTTTTCATCTTCTAGGTCTTTTGCATTTCAGCTTGTTTTCTTTTCAATCAGCTGGTTACTTTCTATAAAAAGGCTGCTAGGATTTTGATTGCGATTGCATTAAATGTACAGAACAATTCGGATAAAGTGACATTAAATAATGAATTTTCTGATTTGTGAACATAGTGTATTTTACCATATATTTAGGTCTCCTTTAATTTATCTCAGCAACATTTTTTTTGAAAGAAAGTTTTTTTTATTAAGGTATTGTTAATATACAATCTTGTGAAGGGTTCACATGAGCAACATTGTGGTTATAACATTCACACATATTATCAAGCTCCCCCCCACCCCATTGCAGTTACTGTCCATCAGTGTAGTAAGATGTTGTAGAGTCACCACTTGTCTTCTCTGTGCTACACTGCCTTCCCCGTGACCTCCCTACATTAAGTGTGCTAATCATAATATCCCTTAATCCCCTTCTCCCTCCTTTCCCACCCACTTTCCCCAACCTCTTTGGTAACCGCTAGTCCCTTCTTGGAGTCTGTGAGTCTGCTGCCGTTTTGTTCCTTCAGTTTTGCTTTGTTCTTATACTCCACGAATGAGTTAAATCATTTGGTATTGTCTTTCTCTGCCTGGCTTATTTCACTGAGCATAATACCCTCTCCATCCATGTTGTTGCAAATGGTAGAATTTGTTTTCTCCTTATGGCTGACTAATATTCCATTGTGCATATGTACCACATCTTCTTTATCCATTCATCTACTGATGGACACTTAGGTTGCTGCCGTGTCTTGGCAGCAATAAACATAAGGGTGCATATGTCTTTTTGAATCAGGTATCTTGTTTTCTTTGGGTAAATTCCTAGGAGAGGGATTATGGGTCAAATGGTATTTCTATTTTTAGTTTTTTGAAGAACCTCCATATTGCTTTCCACAGTGGTTGAACTAATTTATATTCCCACCAACAGTAGGTGGGTTCCCCTTTCTCCGTATCCTCGCCATCATTTGTTGTTGTTTGTCTTTTGGCTGTTGGCCATCCTAACTGGTGTGAGGTGATATCTCATTGTGGTTTTAATTTGCATTTTCCTGATAATTAGTAATGTGGAACATCTTTTCATGTGCCTGTTGGCCATCTGAATTTCTTTTTTGGAGAAGTGTCTGTTCAGATCCTCCACCCATTTTTTAATTGGGTTATTTGCTTTTTAGGTGTTGAGGTGTGTGAGCTCTTTATATATTTTGGATGTTAACCCCTTATCGGATATGTCATTATCTCAGCAGCATTTTGTACTTTTTTTATTAATTAATAAACTATGCTTCTTAGAGCAGTTTCAGGTTTATATCAAAACTGAGTAGAAAGTACAGAGTTCCCATATACCTCCTGTCCTCCGTCTTACATAACTTTCCCCACTATCAATCCTGTACCACAATGGTACACTTGTTATAACTAATGAATCTACACTGACATATCACCCAAAGCCTAGGTTATAATAGGGGTTACTTGTAGTGTGGTACATTCCATGGCATTTGACAATATATATATATATAATGATATGTAGCTGCCATTACAGTAACATTCAGAATAGTTTCAGTATCCTAAAAGTTCCCCGTGCTCTATTTGTTCATCTCTTCCCACTCAGCCCGGCAACATTTGGTCTTTTTTTTGTCTCCACAGTTTGGCTTTTTCTAGACTATCATATAGTTGGAATCATACAGTAAGTAGTTTCTCAAATTAGCTTCTTTCACTTAGTAATATGCATTTAAGTTTACTCCATGTCTTTTCATAGCTTGAGAGCTCATTTCTCTTTTATCACTGAATAACGTTCCATTGTCTGAATGTACCAGTTTATTTGTTCACCAACTGAATGACATCTTGTTCGCTTCCAAGCTTTGGCAATTATGAGTAGGACTGCATTTTACATGATTCCATTTTCTCTCTTTTCTTAGCCTATCAATTATATTTTTAAGTGCTTGCCCTAGAGTTTGCAATATGCATTTACAACTCATTCTAATCCACTTTCAAGTAACACTACACTGCTTCACAAGCAGTGCGAGTACCTTAGAGTAACAAAGTATTCCTAATTCCTCCCCCTGTTCCTTGTCATTGCGGTCATTCAGTTCACTTATACATCGGCAAGTGCATGTGTGCACACACACACAAAAGCATACATGATCAAATACACTGCGGCTATTATTTTAAACTTGTTTATTCAATCAATAAAGAAAAACGCTATTTTACTTTCACTCATTCTTTCTCTGATCTTTATGAAGATCTGATTTTTCCGACTTGCCATTTTCCTCCTCTGTAAAGAATTTTTAACATTTTTTGCAAGACAGGTCTACTGGAAACAAATACTCTCAATTTTTTTTTGTCTGAGTAAGTCTATTTCACCTTCACTTTTGAGGAAAAATTTCACAAAGTACAGAATTTCAGTCTGGTGGCTTTGCTTTCTTAGCACCTTAAATATCTCACTCCACTCTCTGCTTGCTTGCAGAGCTCCAAGGAGAGGTTAAATATATCTTATCTTTGCTTCCTACAGGTAAGGTGTTTTTCCCTCTGGCTTCTTCAAAGACTTTATCTTTGATTTTCAGAAATTTAAATGTTTTTACAGGTGCAGTTTTTTGGGTATTTATCCTGCTTAGTTTTCTCTGAACTTCCTGGATTTGTGGCTTAGTAACTAACACCAATTTGGGGGAAATTCTTAATCACTGCTTCAAATATTGCTTTTG